GCAATGTGAAGTCTTCTGAAGCTGTATCTAGTCTCAGTGGCATAAGAAGCAGAGTTGCCATGTGTGGCAAACCCTGTAGGAGAGTGGGGAAAGGGATGGGGGAAGGGGGGGGATGCAGTTCTGACAGCCGGGAGTAGGGAGCATGGGTTGTTGGAGACATGGCATCCCAGTGCGGGTGGGGGAGGCTTCACAAGGATGGGGGTCAGTTCCAGCGCCCCTCCTAACTTGGTGCCCGGGGCAGGTGTCCCTTTTGCCCACCCCTGGTTACACTACTGTCTTGTCTGCTTCCTGAACTAGATTCATTTTTTTTCTCTATCCCTGCCTGTAAAAGCAATGCCCCTGAAGGAGAAAAAAATGGATAAAACATGTCTGTCACTAAGCAGATGTTCTCTACCTTAAACTCAGCTCATCATTTAGGTTCTATCAAAATATAATTATTTATCATTGCTAATACTAATTATGGTTGTGATCCTGTAGGCTGCTCAACTCATCCTCTTAGATGCAAATTACCCCTTTAATTCTTATTGATTTAGGAACTGAAAGGTGACATTTTTCATGCTTTGTAGCATACCACAAACGTTCAGGACAGTTGCAGTTATGGATGGTTTTTTTCCTAGCAGGAAAAGTAACTTCTTCCCTACCTTAGTCATCTACTGAGAACTAAGCCTTTTTTTACATTTACTTCATGTGTACCTCATTTCAACCTGAATAATTTAATCCAATGCATGTGACTATTAGAAGCAGATATTTATATCGATATTGAAAGGTAGTTTTCAGTCTCCTGAATGTATAGCTCTTAAGCCACTCGTAACAGCTTATGTTGTTTATCAGACCTTCCGAATTCAAGTCATGCAATTTCTTTAGGTTGTTTTTACTAACTTTGCTTCCCCCCCCCCTTTTAATCAAAAGAAAAGGGGGAAGGAGGGAAATTCGAATATATGTTGATTTAGTTTTATTAATCAAACTCTGATAATGTAAAAAAATTAAAGTTTTACTGGTTGTTTTTAGGGTTTCTTTTCCCCCCCTCTCGCTCTTACAAAAGGAAACATAAGTAATGTCTAATGCCCATACTGATGTTTAAAATAAAATAACTTTTCAATAGAATAATTTTGCTTTCTTGATGTGCACAGGTAATTTCCTGTGAGAAATGAAATGTTTCTCTTTCACCATTTAGAACTCCAAATGGGACTCTGATTAATGGAACAAAATGGCCAATCTTCACTATCTCCGAACAAAAATACTTAACTTTAAATACTGAAGCTTCAAAGATACGTACAAAGTTACGTGCTCAGCAGTGTCGATTCTGGAATATATTTTTTCCCAAAGTCCTGGAGATGACAGGTAATACTGTTTTTTGTAAATATTTATTTGTAGAGTAAATGGTTTAGTATAGGCTCACATTCCTGATGTTAGCATTATATTAACATTTTAGATTTGAAACTTATCTTTGTAAAAATATTTCAAGAGGATCAGATCCTGAGGTCTTAAGACAGACAAAGGCTTATTCATGTGAAAAGGACTTTTCCTGAGAACATTTGGCAGTATGCTATGCAAATCTCTCTATGCTAGATCAAGAGAGAACTGATAAGCAAGCACTTCTGCTTAAATTGTAGAGGAGGAGGCTTTCAGGGTAGAGTCCAAATTCAGTCCCCCGTGATAACATGACATGAAGGCTACTGCAAAAATGGGAGCTTGTCTGGTATTAAAAGTGCCAAAGGCCACAGATGCTTGGCATGAGCACATTGTGTCCAGTGCATGTTATGTACCCCCTTTCGTGCCTAATCCACAGAGGATATGATGCTACTACAGCTGCCAGCTGGGTAATTTGTTTCAAACTCTAGAGATTTGCACTTTATTTATGAAGTTTCAGCACCGAGTCCCTAGTGACAACCAAATGGCATAAAGAATGAGTAAAAAATGAAAACAAAGGAGAGACAAGACCTCAAGGTTTGGCCCATGGAAAATATCCCAGGGTTACAATTTGTTGTCTGTATAGTGCTCTTGTAGGTTTTGTCTAAATCACTGCTCATAACTTTTTATAAGTGCTGGATACTTGGTTCTGGGTTCAGCAATGGCGGCCAAGAATTTTGTACACTTATCTGAAACTTGGCTAAAGCTCTGAAGCCATTTAATTGGCACCATCTGACTTGGTTTCTCTCAAGAATAAATTTTCTTCTGATTGTTCTGGTAGCATTTGCTTCCTTATGGAGCTCATAGTACAGAACAACGTTATGTGTTTCTGAAGAGTTCTTTATAATAGGATTTCTATACTTCTAACCTTGGCCAAAGTGTGGAAGGAAAAAAAGTATGTGGATATGAAAACTGTTTTGAAAGATAACAATCTATCTTTTTCTGAGAGAGTTTATTGATTCCTGTTTTGTGTCCATAGATTTACTGTGGTCCTACTCCCACTAAAAGTCAATCCATTTTTTCCCTATGTACTCCAACCGGAGCCAAATCAAGCTAAAATATTTATAGTCTCTCAAGATCGCAATCACGGTTTACTAAGATTGAGACTACAGAATCTCAAATGTTAAGGCAGGACCTTGAGACAGCTATTCCAATATTATCTATTACAATACTTTTACCTGTTTACTTTTATAAAGATTACAACGCCTTTTTTAAACTATTCTTAAGCAAAAATAATTCCACAAAGTTTGACATATTTATCTAATTTTGCCTTGGACCTGTCTCTGAGAACTTGTACACCTCATACTCATTGATTTTTACAGAGTCTTCCTATAGTTTGAATTTATGGTACCTGATATTGTATGTCTCTAGAAAAGGGTGCTGGATAGTTTCCGTTCCCATTAAAGGTTATGGGCTTGAGGGTGATGGGCACAGTAAAAATCCATAAATCTGTCCTCTTCCAATTTAATCTACTGTAGACTTCTGAGTATCTTATAACACACTCATTGCTTTTTTATCTGAGTGCATCATTCCCATAGATTTCAATGATAACAGATTGAGTTCACTAGCATTTTGTAGATGTTTAGCTGAAAGGAACAGATCCCATTTTATTAGGCGAAAAAAAGAGATGGGAAAATGTCTCTTTAATCACTTCAATGCATTGTCTGTTGTTTGGGTGACACTTCACTATTTCTTTTATCATGACACACTGTTATTTGTAAGCTGTGTGGGAGATTATACAAAATAGTGATTTTTTTTTAATTTGGGTCACTTTTAGGAAAGAAGTGGATATTTCATATGAACATGTAGTGTATTTAAATGTGATTTTTTGATCATCAGGCTGTACTCAGAAAATTATAATTGTATACTCCATCTGTCTGGGTGATGATATTGGCATATAAAATACTATTTGTAATCAAATGTTCTGTGATATAATGTATATCAATAGACACATTTCTTTAGCATATTGTGGTGGGCCAAAAGAGTTATTTTACATGTTCCTGAAATGTGAAATACAGTGAAGTGCCACTCTTGATCTGCCAAAAGACACAAAAGCACATCACTTGATTTTACTTTAAAATATTGTAATTGGTGATTTGATATGTGTATTCAAATTATTTTCCAAAATAATTCTTTAACATATTCACGACAAAAGTAAAGACCTCTATCTGGACTCTTGCCAAGGAAGTAGATGAACTGTTTTTAGCAAGTGGCAGTGCTTTGATATATAACTCTCAGTCATTCCTCTTCTAGGTATGACAAAAAAAAAACCCATTTCTTTCCACTTACACATTTCCTGTAATTTACTTTCATTTTAAAGGCTGCTTCCAACAAAACAAGGAATCTAAAGCAATGATTTGCATTGCTTTAGCTCTTCATGAGTCCAAAGACACTCAAAGCTGTTTATATACCTTTTAGGGCAGATTACATTACAGTGATAGCATAGCTTTTCTTGCACGATGAAAACATCACTCCACATGTATGGCTACACGTGCCTAGGGCAGGCTGTCCCGACAAGGAAAAAAAGGTGTAACAACTTGTCTTGCTGCTGCTGACCGGCTTGGGGAGCTCTCTCTGGTCAGCAGCACCACTGAAGGAATCCTCCAGGATCCCTGGGGTCTCAGAGGCAGCAGCAACCTAGGGGTGGGGAGGAGATGTCCTATCCCACTTCCCCCCCATGCATGCAAGGAGCAAGGGACACCCTTCCCGGCAGGAAAAATCCCAAGATCTCCTGAGCAGCAGCAAGCACAGAAGTGGGGGGAGATTGCCCCTCCCTCTGGCCTTGCTGCTACCTGGAAGCTCTGCTCCTGCTCCCTGAGTTGGCTGCTGAGCATGAGACCATGGGCTCCATTCTGGCCAAGCAGCATGTCTCATGTTCCCTGCTCACCTGGGAGAAGTGGGGCAGGGGTTTTCTCCCCTCCCCTCCCCTCCCCTCCCCTCCCCTGTGCTTGCTGCTGCCTGGGAGAATCCCCAGGCTGCGCTCAGGCTGGGCAGGAGTGTCCCTGCTCACCTGTCCTGTGCTCTCATGGCAGGTGGGGGAGGCTGTTTATCCTGTGTGCATTGTGCTGCTGAGTAGGGGAAATAACCTGAGGCTCAGTTCTGTAATGAGGCAGGGGTTTCTTTCTGTTGTTTTCCAGAAAATGTTGCACTGGAGAAAGACCCTGAGATTCTGGAGGGTCAGCAGATTGCCATCACAGGTTCTATTCCTTGCTACATGTGCAAATTAAAGTTGGATCAAAACCAGCTATAAAGTTAGCACATATTTTCAAGCTCTAACTTTATAGCTGGCTGGACCTTTTTATGGCATGATTGGTACATAGCACAAGTAGCATGTCTCAGTTAAACAGTGCAATTAAACAGTTCATTGTGTAATACCTGTAATGTGTAGTGGTGGCCTGTGACAGAGACACCCACACATTGTTTGATACACTATTAAAATACTACCCCTTTTAGGGTGAAAGATGATAGCTGCCTTACCAACGCACTCACACTGCATAGCAATTTACAGCAGAAGTGAAGAAAAATATTATCTATCTTTATTTTTATGTCCAGTTGAAAAGTAAGGAAGAAGAGAGGTTAATCACGACTCTTTATTCCGGGTGGAATCTGAGCAGTACATTGGAAATGACAGGTTTGGCTGAAATTGCAGTTGGATTTTTAATTATCCTGGTGGTCAGAACTTCAGCTTTACTGGTGGAGGTGCCATCTTTCAGATAAGATGTAGTTTCCTCTACTATTCAGTATTGAGCCACCTACTAAGCCATCTGCCCATTGCCTATGCTGGCCCATTTATTCCTTTGAGGTCCCACAGCCACATAATGACCAATCCCAAATTTGCTCAGCATGTCAGCACAGCCAGTTCTACTATACAGTAGGTAAGATTGGCAGTTGCCTAAGGCAGTAAAATATGAGAGACAGCAAAATGTTTAGTAACTGTAGGCTGCAAGGGTGGATGTATTCCAGTTTCCTAGGGTAACAAAATGCCTACAGCCAGCAAAGTTTATATCATGCCTACAAATTTGGACAACTAAGAGGAGAAAAACAAATCTTACTCACCCAGACTGCAGAAGCACATACAAATGAAATGCTGCTCTCTGAACATATTTTGAGTTTTTAGCATTTGTACAGTTTGACAGAATTTCCTGCTGGCTTTTCTTTAGAGGTTATAACCCTAACCACAACATGTCATTTTTTTGTTCTGGCAAAATAATTAGTCTAATGAATTGTATCTGTACTCTCAGACAGACTGGGCTCTTGCTACATAGGTTTGATGTCCTGAAAAGAGCTTAAGGGATCTAGCAAATGACTAAAAATACCCACAACTCGCACTGCTGGTAAAAAGGCTGAAGGTATTCAAAAGCAGAAGATTGGATGACATTTTTGAAAAGTTATCAGATCTGGGACAACAAGTGAGGAACAGAAATCAGCAGAATAAAAAACTTCTTCTAAAGGAGCAAGTAACTTTATAGTACCCTTTAGTTCAAACGTACGTTAGATGCCAAAATATTGCGTGTCAAAATGAGACTTCCCTTCCTTCCAAGAGTCCAACATTCCTTATGCATTCAGGGCCCTAACTAACTGTGCATTTCCCCTTGAGCTTAATATAGGCAGCACAACTTTCAATTTGTGTTACCATTTGTTCTTTTTAAAGTATATATTATACCTCAGTTTAAATTGATTTTCTATCACTACATATCATGTACGAAGAAGCAAAGAAAGAGAAAGCTTCAGGAACAGTTATACCAGTTTATGTAATGAAGGTTTGAGAGCCTTAGAAATATCTTGAAGAGCAGAGAATGAAAAGAGAAATTAAAGTTAAGTATTAATGTCCAATATGTACCTAGAAGTGTCCAAGATCATTACACATTATAATTCTCAATGACATAGGAATCCTGTGTTTACAAATAGTTGTATGCAGATCACTGAAAATG